TTAGGCAAATTTCTGGAATCCCAAATCTGTTTTGTTGATGGGTTCTCTAAAGAAAAAGGACAGACTGGGGAGGAATAATCAGGGAAATTCTATGGAGGTGACATTTTAACTGAGGCCTGAAGGATTAGTTGAAATTGATTGGCAAAGTGTGGGAGAGTAGCAGGGCCTTTCAGGAGGAGAAAACAGCATGTGTGGGGGCTTTGAGGAGAGAAAGGCCTTTGGGGTTAGTCTGTAAGGGCTGCTATAACAAAATACTGCAGACAGGATGGCTTAACCGACAGAAGTTTATATTCACACAATTCTGGAGGCTGGAAGGTCAAGATCAAGGTGGCAGCAAGGGTGTTTTTTAGTGCCTTTTTGCTGTGTCCTCACATAGCTCTTTTTCTGTGCACATATGCTCCTGATGTCTCTTCTTATATGGACACCAGTGCTATTAGATTAGGGCACCTCATTTGATCTTTTTTTTTTTTTTTTTTGGTGCTGGAGATTGAATCTAGTGATGGTTTACCACTGAACCATATCCCAACCCTTTTTGTTTCTTTATTTTGAGACAGGGTCTTGCTAAGTTGCTTAGGTCTCACTAAGTTGCTGAGGCTAACCTCGAACTTGTGATCCTCCTCCCTTTCATTTAATCTTAATCCCTTTTCTTCATATACTGTTACATTGAGGGTTTGAACTTCAATCTGGAATTTTACGGGCTGGGGGATATATATAACTCAGTCTATAATAGACTCTGAGTATTAGAGGAACCAGCAGAGAGAAGCTGGGTGATTGCTGCCTGCAAGTTAGGGAGCAAATAGTATAAGAAGAGGCTGGAGAGGTGAGGAGGGCCTGATTAGGACTCAGGAACTGAATGAAGATTTTGTAATTCATCCTAAGCATTGAGAGCCTTTGAAAGATCTTAGGAAGGGGAGTGACTTAAGTCAGGTTTGCACACACATTTTTAAGTCTCTTTCTCTCTTCTCCTTCTTCTGCTTTTGGTACTGGGGATTGAACCCAGAGGTTCTCTACCACTGAGCTACATCCCAATCCCTTTTATTTTGTTTTTTAAAGTTTAAGACAGGGTTTCACTGAGTTACTGAGGCTGACCTTCAACTTGTGATCCTCCTGCCTTCGCCTCCCAGGTTGCTGCAATTATAGGCATGAGCCACTGTGCCCGGCTTAAGGCTCTCTTAAAATGTGTAAGGTGCTTGTTGAAAGAGTGGAGACACTGTAAGTTTCCTTCTGCAAGTCCTCTGAGAGCCCATCTTTTCTTGGCTCTTGAGGTTCCAATACAGTCATCAGACTCCCTCTCCCAGTGCTTCCTTGTGCTGAAAGCAGTAAGACCTGCATATTAGCCACTAATTAGCTTTTAATTAGAAAAAGCATGACTTTGTGTTCATGAAGGGACAAATACCTTTAAAAATTGAATCACATTAATTGAATAAATCTTTTACCACATAGCTCTGAAAATTTTAGTCCTTTCATTATGAGCCCCATCGAGCAAAACTATTTGAAAGTGCTTAGTTAATATAGCAGTCACTGGAGCATCATTTGGAATACAGTTGTTTTATCATGAAGGGTAGCTGGACTCTCAGGTGGCATAATGCTTCTTGTGATGCTCAAAGATTTCCTTGAAGATTTTCTTAAGCAGTTGCTACTCAAAGTGTGGCTCAAGACCTGTAGCTTCAGCAGCAAGTGGGAGCTTTCTAGAAATTCAGAATCCCGGGCTGTACCCCAGACTTCTTGAATCAGGATCTTTAGGAGCAGAACCATGAAATCAGCTTCTAAAAATTCTCCAGATAATTCCTAGGCACGCTGAAGAGATCAGTATGCAACCAAGACTGTGTTTCCTTGGCCTGTTGCATCGAGGTCCCAGGTCAAACTATGCTCCCACAGGACTACCAATCATGTATTTACAAATAGTCATGGAGCAACTACAGAATGCCAGGCATTTCCTGGAGATTGAAAATACATAATTATCACTGTCCTTCAAGAATTTAGTCTAAGGCTTTTTTTTTTTTTTTAAAGATATCATGAATGGAATCATTTAAGAGGAAAATCCAAGATTCCGTGGAATCCCAGAAATCTCTCTAAAGTGGGCCTATGGTTTTGTCACCCAGCATCAGTCCTTCCTTCTTGGGATAGGTTCTTATGTTTTGTAGTAAACACTCACAATCTTTACATTTAAGAAAAAGATGAGCCCACTCAAGTTCCCAATAGTGGTTGAGGCTTACAACCCAGGGCCCAGAGGCTACATTAGACACAAGCCCTGCCCAATGTCCAAGAGGGGAAGTAAGTCTTTGGCAGATACCTGATTGGGAGGCTTCTCCCTACTGGATGTGAAGTTGATGGGTATGAGGTCTAAATCTGTTGCTGTTGCTTGGCTACTTTGAGAGGAGAACTTGTCAGAGACTAGACAGTCTGTGGCGGAGAACAGAGTTGAACTATAGTTAGGCTATAATCTTGGGGACACTTTTTAAGTCCTTCCATAGCAGGGCCTGAAGCTAGTCTGCCACCTGGAATTCTCACACATGTGAGATAATAGATTCCCTTTTACTTATGTCAGTTTGGGCTGGGTTTCCTATCACCTACCAAAAGAGTACTGATTTTCAATATCAGAACAAATATAAAACCCTATTTGAGTATTTATTTCATGTGAGGCTAGAATATGGATGTTATTCCACTTTTTAATTATTATTTTTATTCTAATTAGCTATATATGACAGCAGAATGCATTTCGATTCATTGTACGCAAATGGAACACAACTTTTCATTTCTCTGGTTGTACACGATGTAGAAGTGCACCAAATATTCAGTCATACATGTACCTAGGGTAATGATGTTCATCTCATTCCACTGTCTTTCCTGCCCCCAAACCCCCTCTCCTGTTCTTCAACTTCTGATGAAGTTATATCTACATAAAACCATTGTGAATTGAAAAACTAAGTCTACAATGCATTGAATATACCTAACCTACAAACACCTTGGCTTAGTCACATGGGTATACTGTAAAGAGTTAGTTGTTTTTCCTTGATTGTTTTCCCTGTGATAAGGGTCTGCCTGAGAGCTGTGGCCACCACTGCCCAGCACTGTGAGAGAGTATCACACTGCATGTTGTTAGTTCAGAAAAGATCAAAATTTGAATTACAGTTGTTACTAAATGCATATTACTTTCACACCATTGTAAAGTTGGAAAACTGTATGTGGAGCCATTGTTAAGTTGAGGACCATCTGTACTAGCAGTATTACTGTTTTTTTAAAATTAGGTATTTAAAATTTATTTTTAAATCATTAGTGAAACTAACACCTTAATACCTTTCAAATATAAAATATGTATAAACATGTACAAAACACCTACTCTAAGTGTTAATTAGAATGATAACATTAAACAAACATTATTATTCTAGTATCATCTGACACACAGCATTAACCATCCCTAGACCTGTTGCTTTCTCTCCATATATCATGTATACATTGCATCTGTTGTCTCCTGCTTCTCTTGTTTTCCCACTTAGGAGTGGGTAAGGTTGCTGTCTGGTGCTAGGCCCAGGTATGGCTGGTTGGTACACCTCTCTCTCTCTCTCTCTCTCTCTCTCTCTCTCTCTCTTTCTTTCTCTCTCTGCCCTCCTCTCCCTCTCTGCCTCTCTCCCTCTACCCCCTCTTTCCCCCCCTCTTTCCCTTTCTCTCTCCTCCTAAACCCTGTCTAAACCTATGCACACGGTCCTTTTGTTAAACTCATCTCTTCATCTCAGGTATCTAATTTGAGTGCTCCATCCATTTTCTGATACATGTGTCAAGCCCAACTCCAAACCACTAATTGCAATCTCAACATAAGAGTGCTAACTAGTGCATCCTTTGAACTAGCTTGAGGTGAGGTGATCAGGGATGACTTTTTTTGGGGAGAGGATGCACACACTAGTTTGGAGGGATGAGTCAGAGTTGAGCAGATAAGTGGTAATATAGCTCATCCCTGCAGACTGAGCCCTGGTCCCACTTTCTGATCTGGTGCTTGGAGGAACTGTGGAATAATAGGGAAGATATTTCAATAAGAGAGACAAAGTGAACCCTAGCAAGGCACCAGGGGGCTTAGAACTGCAGGGGTTTCAGCAAGACAGTAGGCCAGAGAGAAGAGTAGGGACAAATAGAAGGCAGGTGAGGGAAGCAGGATCTAGGACCCCACTATATCCAAACTTATGGTGCATTCTCATGAATTTTTTTTTTTTGTGTGTGGAGATGAGTATTAGACCCAGGACCTGGAACCCGTTAGATAAATACTTTGCCACTGAGCTACACCCCCATCAGATGGTATGTTCTCTAACAACTGGCCAGATGGAGGTCAGTAGCAGTCATCTATGGTGTATAGACCACAACTTTGGCTTGGATGTTTGAATTGGTGGTTGTCCTGGGTAGGAATGTACAGGTTGTGTTTGGTCCTAGGGTTTCCCCCAAAGCACAAGAAAACCCTGAGGGCCCTTGTACAAGAAGACTTTTCTTCCCAGGAGAGGAAGATAGGATACTCTGTACCAAAGGGTTTAGCTGAGAAGACATTTTATAATGGAGTGGCTATTTCTACTGAATATAGTGGGGAACAAACAGCTGAGGCTGGCTGATATGAAGGAACCTACCTGATGAAACTCTTATCAGCTGGAAAAACCAATTCTGAATGATGTGGTTAATTACTAGGCTTGAAGGGTGGCATCTGGCTGTATGATCAGGCACAATGACAAGCTTGGAGCTGAAGACTTTCTAGGAGGGCCAATGGCTTTTTGTGATATGCTCCTGGTTGCCTAGCAAGATAACCTGAGAAATGGAGGGTCTCTGACACAGGACACTCTCTTCCTTAAAATTCAAAGCTGAAAGACAGAAGGACTATGACTACTCAGGTGTGCTCACCTGAGACCCAGGTAGACTTGGGTAAACCACAATTTACTTCTCCTAGAGATGGGGGAAGCAGTTACATGAAAATCTTATTTTAATATTGTTTTGGGAAATGGGAACAGGAAAGGAAAGACAAAGAAAATTGCAATTTATTGAGTTCTTACTATATGATAGATTAAAGATAGGACCTTACAAAAACTTCAGTGAAAACTGGAAAGGTAGGCATTATTTATACCTTCTTTATTGGCGATAAAACAGAAGATTGAAGAGGTTAAGAAAATTGTCCAGGGTCCCATGACTAGCAAAGAGAGAAGTTGGACCTTGAAACCAGGTTCATCTGGCTCCAAAGGCCACACTTACCTATTTCACTGAAGGTGTAGCTGTACTGGAAATTGACATAAGAGGTACATTATGATGTAAGAGCTACACAGTGTATGATGAATTTGAACCTGCTTACTGACTGGGTGATGTTGGGCAAGGTCTTGTAACTTTCTGTTCTTCAGGTCCTCTAGCTCTAGCTCATGGCAATCTTTGTGGGGACGTTCTTACTGGCTGGTAGTGGAAAATCATGTATTTAGAGATTGTAGTGAAATAGTCTCTGAAAGGGTATAAGGAAGGCCACAGAGGAAGGCCAGGCATTTCCTTATCTTTTGTGTTTGTCACTTTGTACTCTGGATGGGAAAAGAATTTCTCCTGGGTCAAGTCCAGTATTGGTACTTCATTGTGAATGTCTTTAATCTGTCGATTTAGGCAAGGCTGAGAAGTGAGCTGTTTATGTCACTGGCATTTGCCCATCTCTGCCTTCTTGGTCTAATTGGCTCTGGAAGCCTTGACCCTGTTTTTTCAGGACCTTGGCTAGAGATTTGCCTATGCTTCTGTGGTTTTGGGTCCTATCTTGTGCCATTCAACTGGCCCCACCCTAAGACTGGTCTGGATCCATTTCACATTCCACATGCTAATTTGTTCCGAGTGTCCCAGCTCTGATGTTTCCCTTTCTGACTTTGTAAATTGAGGCTTTGTTCTTTTCCAGTCTACATTTTGGAGTATTCCTCTACCTACACTGTCTTTAGCTGCCCATCCCACCCAGTTCCCAGGCCCTTCTACCTCAGGATGGCCTCCTTGTTACTCCTGCCAGGATTATTTTGGTTCAGTGGACAGGACATGGAGAGTTAAGGTTTCTTGTACTGTGACAGAGGCATGGCTTGAAATAATGACAGGACTGGCCATGTCTGAGCTCAGGTATAATTAATTGGTTTTGCCAATTGACTCTGGGAAAGTTGGTGTACACTTTGGATAACAGAGATGCCTCTGAGAAGAGTTCTAAAACATTGTATCTGAAAAGAACCCAAAGGATTTACTCTAGTTGCCACTCTCACAAACACGATGACTGAACTTGAATGTATTTAGATGCCTTACCAGCGACACACATTCATTTTTGGTGTGGCATCAAGCCAGATTTCAGACTCTGAATTCCTATTTTGATGCTCTTTGCCCTGCTTTATATAGATGAGCAAGTTTTTCTTTAAATTTAGGGCATTTTTCTCAAGAGGGACTCGTAGTCATTTCTTAACATATCAGTCCCAAGCAGAGGGACTGATGGAATGAAGCATCAAAGAGAAGAAAAAGGGCTGGGAGTGTAGCTGAGTGGGAGAGTTCTGTCTTAGTATGTGCAAGACCTTGGGTTTGATCTCTAGCTCCCCACCTAGCACTGAAGCATGGAGGGCAGAGGAGAGACAGGCTAGGGAAGCACTCTGCACTGAGCTATACCTCAGTCCTGAGATTTATTTTAAAGATATGGAAAGCTGAGGCTTAGAGAGGACAAATGTCTTTTTCAAATGACCACAAAGAAAGGATAGAAGAGGGCTTCAGACTGTGGCTTATTTGCTTCTAAAGGTCAGGGAATTCTAAAGTGTACTTATGTATGTATATAGATGGGGGTATGTTCATGTGTGTGAGCAACTAATTGCGTGTCTTTGTGTGTACTATGCTTTTTGCAGATACAAGGGGATGGAACAGAAGCTCTTTGTCTCAAAGAGGAGCAGGTGAATGGGGCCATGGTGGTTCATTTCTAGTCTGCTCTGTGGAGGAAATAGAGGATGTTAACACGTGGAAGTTCTAGGTTGACTTGTTGCACATGCCTTCCCAATAGAACCAGTCCAGACTGCTGTGACAGGAAGCCTCTGAGGGAGCTTGAGACTAGGTACAGTGGCCATCCATCCAGAGGATTACAGGAGCAGCCTCTGTCCCAAGAGGGGCTGAATCAGATGACACAAAGGGGACATTCCTGATACTGTACTAAGGTAACTGAGGTTAGCAGAAAATCATGGGACTCTGGTTTCCCCCCTGGCAGGTGGGTGGGTATCATTGTTGTTAGTGTGTGTGGGCTCAGGGCCTCACTAGCATGTGTGCAGTCCAGGGTTGACAAGAACTGTTTGACTCGGCCTCATATTCACAGAGGGCTTCAGATTTAGGCTCTTGATATTCTCCTCAAATGAGGTTACACATGCAGCCCGAGAGATGAGCTGACAAGATGAAAAGGAGAAGGCATTCATCATCTGGCTCTAAGCACGTCACATTGCCAAAGTACACTGCCTGCAGTGCCCTAGGATTAATAGTTCATAAGTCCTATAATTATTTGGTGGATAACACAATTGTGTGGCATTTAAAACACAATGGCAATTTGTTAAATGTAAACATTTAGAACAGATACAAATTTTGGAGCTCAGTTATAGCAATTTCTCATTCTTGAACATGGAGGAAACTTCAAGAATGTAAGTGGTCTGGGTCTCTCATGACCACCGAAGACCCCTGTGTACCCTGGGTGTGGATATTCAGGCTACTACTGTCGAGGATGCTTATTCCTGTGATTATGTGTAAAATTGTGAATTTTTGAGCTATTGGGGTGTTTGTGTGTATTTGGATCCGTGTGTTCGTGAGAGTATGTGTTTATGGGCTCTTGGGGGATGATGAGGGTCTGACTATCGCTAGCTTGTGGGAACTGAGGGTAGGCAGTGGGAGAGAGAGGCACTGTTAGAGCACTGTAAGCCTCAGATGTCAGGGGCATAACTTGATTTGGCCTGAATAACCCTCTCAAAATAGAAAAATCAAGGAACCAGCATGGAGGCAGCCTGTCTGGGCTCGGGTTGGTAATGAGGACTAACAAGGGTTGATGGAGCCTGGGAGCGATGGGCTGAGATGGCCCCGAGCTGCCTGGCACCCTGGGCCCTGCAGCCATCCAATGCTGCCCAGCCTGGTCTAATGTTATAACCTACAGAGATTTTCATTGATAAAGGCTGGGAGAAAGGGAGAAAGCAGCCTCGCCAGCCACAGTGGAAGGAGAGTGGGCTCTGTAGAACCCTGGAAGGAAGCTTCCCTTGTAGTCTGGCAAAACTGGGATTCCACCATAGATCTTTCTAGAGGGTACTCAGTCAAATGCACTAGAAAGGAAGTCTTACCTATCCTTTAGCAATATATTCATATGTATAAGTATGTACATGTAGAAAAATATATGTAACTCCTAATACAAGTTAATTTTAAGAAACTAGAAGATTTTGATTGTATTAAAGAAAAAAGAAACAGCTTTACCCAGAGATCACCATTGTATACATTTTCTTAGCAGAAGTTTCTCATCAGCCACACGTGTGGTCAGTATCTTAAATTCAGTCCATCAGGAGAATAACTACCCTGGACCATTGTCACATTGGGGTTGTTTTCCTCTGGGGTTGGACTAGATCTCTGTATAGTTGGTTGAGGCATAGAAAGATGTAGTCAGCTTGTATTTAGGGGACAGGTTGTATAAAAAAATATACATCTTGAAACTTTAGCATCATAGTCAGCATTGGAGAACACTCACATCCTAGAAGGCAAATGGAAACTGAGAGGGAATAAAATTCCAGAAGTTTCGTGTCCCCATCTGATTCATGTGCCCAAGGAGTAGAGTGCTGGGTCAGATCTCTTTCACAATTTAAGTTATTTTCTTTGTCTTTATGTTTCAATGCCTTTCTTTCTGTGTTGCCGGCTCTTTCTCCATTTCCCCCCACAACACCTTATGAAGTGCATAGAGTTGAACTCAGAGAAACTAAATGCATACATGATGTAACTCTACTGTATATATTTCCCAACTTTCCTTATGTGTATGGATATGTCTGTATGTTTGACAAAACTGGGATCATATTGTAGGTACTCTTTTAATTTATTATACCCTGGATATTCTTCTATATAATATTTTACTCTTGCCATTCCACTGAAGAAATAATACCATAATTTGTATAATTATGCAATCAATTCATTATTGCAGAGGAGTGGCTTTCAAACTTTTTGTTATCCTAATAATCAGTAAATTTCCTTCCACAGGAACCTTTGCTTTCCTATGTAATTACTTTTCTAGAAAAAATTTTCTCAATGAGAAATTCTTTGTCAAACACATTTAGAGTTTAAGCCTTTGGTCATAGATCACCTACTGTTTTTACTCTTTTCTAGGGAAGGAGAAAAGCTCAGAACACCTTGATCAGAAATCTGGAAAGAGGTACATTCATCCTGTTTGTGAAGGGTATATGGCAATGGGTCCAATCTAAACTCCACTTGTCTTATTTTCACCTGTCTTCTTCAGTTTCTCCATCATTTGCCCATTGTTGTAGGATTCCTTACCCTATCATCAGTAGGATGAACTAGGCTTGGGTCACCCCTGGTTGAAGCGATGAAGATGATCCATTACATTTATGGAATGCTTTACAGATTTCAAAGCAGTTTTATGAGTTTTATGTAGTTGAATCTTCATAAGGCAGGGTTTATTAATTCTTCATTCAGCAAGGAAGGGGATGGAGACCCAGAAAAGTTAAGGAAGGTTCTCAAGTGCATAGAGACATTAAGAAAAATGGAAGTTAGACCTGAATTTTAGCCCAGAAAACTGAAAATACTGCTGGGATAACAAAGCAAGAAGAATCAGGAATTCAGTTGTAGGCTGTGATAGTCACCATCCCACTTGAAGCCCAACGGAAGAGCCAGAACTTCCTGCGTAGTGGAAGTGTACTATTTCTGTCTGCCCCAAATCCAATTGCTTTTTCTTTTGCTAACACCCTGATTTTGGTTTGAGAATTACCCTCGAGTTAGGGGTTGCTAACTTAGAGCAAATGCTGCATTTTGTAGAGCAATAGTCAACTTCACTTATGGGTCTGCCTTGGTGCCATTACTTCAGACAGGCCATGCCTCTATTCTGTAAAGCTTTTGAGTGACAAAACACTTGGAAGGGATCCAGTTTCTCCTTCAGACTTCAGCCTGCCCTCACTGTTCAGGGCATGCATACTACCTAGGCCTGGCATATTCTACCCTCTTGGATAGGGCAATTGATTGAGTGATGAACACATTACCCAAACTGGGTCAATGAGATTCAATCCAGGAACGTTTTGGAACGGAGAGTGGTTATTGGAAAGAGAAATTCTCTTCCCACTGGATTTGGACACTACAGGATCCACCTTGAAGGACAGAACCTACTGTGAACGATCTCAATGCAGAGGAAAGTAAAGTCAGGAAGTGTAGATGGATAGAGAAAAATTCTGATGATATTATTTTATTATTTGGAGACTCTGCAGATGCTGGGAACTGCTGCTCAACCTGTACAAAACTCCAACTAGACCTCTGCGGCACTAGAACTTCTGTTACAGCTCCTGCCAGACTGCATAGGACCTCATACTGACTTGATCTCACTATTTTTTATTATTTATCTCATTAGTCTCTATTCTGATCTCTAAATTGCATGCTAATGCATCTGTTCAAACAAAGCTAATTTTATGTCTATACCTTACTAAAAAAGAGAAGATGGGAAATGTAGGTTTTGGATTCCGTCTTGGAAAGGCAGAATTTACAATCTGCAAGTGTTAAAAAAATTAGAGATGTCATTATAATCTGTCCCTCTGCTGCCTAACACCAATGTGTATACTAATTTCATATTTTTATTACCAATAATTATAGTAACAGTAACCTGTGGCTTGTCTGATAGAATACAACTACAACTTGTGCAAAAATGAAATGCACTCACCCAAAGGGAGGACCTAAAGTTTTATTGCTACATCTCAATGTGAATTCAGGTTTTCTGGGTGCTATTCATTTCTCCTCTCGTGCAGTCATAATATCATGCTGGTAGTTTGTAACCTCTGGACAGACTCTGAAAATTGTAAAGTTAACAAACCACACAGACTAGACACATAGAAGAGAGAATTAAGGAAGAAAAAATAAAATTTATTAAATGTACATAAATATGTACATGATACAATAAGTGAAGAAGAAAATGTTAACACATTTCTGTGCTATAGAACTTATTTCTACAATGGGTCATGCTGTTGACATTGGTATTTATAATGTCCATCCATGTTCCCTTTATCCTCAGCAAGCAAGACAGCTAATCATGATGCTTTATCTGTTGAGGTGACCCAAACTTCATTCCTGGGGGATCTGAATACTCAGTGGCTCTGCTCATATGGGGTTAAAAATTACTTTATATTAATTTTTATCACTGAACATGGCAATTTTAGAGATGTCCCAGAGAATTTCTTTGTTTACAGAAATAGTCTTTTCTGCCCACATGTATCATAGCAGTTTGCTTTGATAGTCTGGATCAGTCATTTTGTCCAACAGGGCATGATAAATCTCAGATGTCCAGGGGCAAGTCTCAGGTTCCAATTCAGTGGACCCATTATTTTGTCCTTTTTTGAAAGTATCCCTCCCATTGGTTCAAAGACTTGAAGGAGTAGCCCAAAGTCATAGAAAGCAAAACTTGAGCAAGTGATTCATTAGGTATCATTATGAGAGGAGATTGCTTTTTACCTTTTTTTTCTTGAGGTAAAATATTGGTCATTAACTTAAAGCATATGCTAAATTTTGTAGGGAAATGCCTCAATCTCATCAGGTTTTTTTCCACACTGGTGCCATAACTTCATTAGGTCATTCCTCCCTTCTACAAAGCCACTTGCTTTTAGTTGATGGACTGCATGGGAAGACAGCAAATGTTTTGCATAACAACCCATCACCACAATACTCTTTCTGTGCATGAATTCTGTGGTTAAAGCAGTATTGTGAAATATTCCAATATTTTAAAAGAAGGCATTTAGTAAATTTCATTAATTTTGTGGTTTTCAGAAGTAAGGTGAACAGGAGACAGGCATGGTAGTGCACATCTGTAATCCAAGAGGCTTGGGAGGCTGAGGCAGGAGGAAAGCCAGCCTCAGCAACTTACTGAGGCCCTAAGCAACTTAGTAAGACTCTTTTTTTTATTAGTTGCTTACAATGATCTTGACATATCATACATTTGATTCAAATAAGGTATGAATTCTCATTTTTCCATGTGTACAGATTGCAGGATCACATTGGTTATACAGCCATGTATATACATACAGCAATACTAGTGTAAGTTGTATTCTGCTGCCCTCCCTATCCCCCCTCCCGTCCCCTCCATTCCCAGAGACCCTGTCATGAAATAAAAAAATCAAAGAAAAGGGCTGCGGATGTAGTTCAGTGATTAAACACTTCTGGGTTCAATCCCTGGTTTTAAAAAAAAAAAGGAAGAAGAAGAAAGAAAGAAAAAAGCAGGGAAGAGGTATTAGTTTTTTAGGGTTTCCATAACAAAACAACATACCCTGGGTGACTATAGAAATTTATTTTCTTACAGTTCTGGAGGCTAAAAGTCCAAGAGAAAGGTGCTGGCAGGTTTAATTTCTTCTGGCTTGGCTTATAGTTCGCCAGCTTCTCACTGTGTCCTTACTTGGCCTTTTCTTTGTGCCTGTGCATCCCTGTTTCTCTTTGTGTGTTCAAATTTCCTATTCACATAGGGACACCAGTCAGATTGGATTAGGGCCTATACTAACTGCCTCTTTTTAACTTATTCACAACTTTATAGACTCTATGTCCGAATATAGTAAGTTCTGAGGTATTAGGATTTAGAGTTTTAATATACAATTTTTGGGGAGATACAATTCATTCCATAATAAAAGATAAAGCCATATCTAGAATAAGTGTTTATTAGTAAGAACAAATTACTGCCTTCTTTATGAAGAAGGATTCCAATGCAATCAATCTGCCCAAAGTGGTAAGCCATTTCCCTCACATTAGGTATCTTGTCCAGGGAGTACATCTAGTCATTACCATTGGCCTTGTGTGCTTAGCAGCGGTGGTCTCCCTGTCCATGTTGTTGATCTCATGCCTAATGTCTGTCTTTGCTACAGTGGTAATGTTTTTCACAAGGCCTGTATTGATTAAACATAAGAGTAGCCGAAGAAAGAGGCCTGACATTCACAGAACAATCATACGAATATTGTGAGCTTCCTTCTGAACAGGAATCACGAAGTAATCTCACACTGTTCATTTTAAGAGATCCGTCCTCATGCCTTTTCTTTAATATTCCTTGTTATCAATGCTCCAGTCTTGTCACCTTCAAATCTGATCAAACCATTAGCTACTGCCTCTGAGTCCTAGAAGATCCATACCCTATGGCATTTTTCTTCCCAAACAAAGTGGAGCATGAGATGTACCCTTGAAAGCCTTCCTGCTGGGAGACATTTTTCTTCATGTTCTGTAAGACATGTGTGTGGATATAGTTCATTTGTGTCTGATGCCTACATGTTGTGCAGAGCCATAGAAAAATCAGACTTTAGTTTTTTTTTATCAGCCAACTAGTTATAAAAAATGCCTCTTAAGGAAATAGGTATGAGTTGAAGAGGAATGGAAGTGTGGAGGGAGTAGAAAGCCAGAGGATTATAAATCATAGAGTTTTCTTTTATCTATTTGATCTGCTAAGTTTATCTATTATAAATCATTTCCATTTGATTGTGAAGTGCTCTGAACCATAACATAATGCTGGTTGATACTCTCCAATTAATGATGGGTAGCTTAATTGCAAAGTCAACAGTTTTCCTGACAGTTGTGGGCATTCTGTTTCTTCTAGGGCCAATGATAAGCCAGAAGCTATTTCTCAAGAGAACATTTGTTTGATGAAAGGACATGATTTTGCTTCAGAGCCCTAGATGCCTTAACTGTGGTTCTTATCTTGGGACTGGCCACAGATTCTCCATGGCTCTCAGACTGGCCACAGACTCTCCATGGCTCTCAGTCAGCCACATACCTACCAAGTCATGAAGGCCTGGTGATAGAGGTTTGCACCAACCCTAGCTCTCTTCAGAGCCTTCTCTTACTCTATGTACCACACAAAATTTGCAGCCTTATGGGTTATTTAGTAAATAGTCATGAGGGGATGATCAAATATGTCATTTCCATGTCTGAAGAGAAACATCCAGCAAGGTGCAATAATATGTCTTTCATTTTGGAGAGACATACTCTAAACTTTGGATGCCATGAGGTGATACATTCCTGAATTTTTATGAAATTTATCTCCCATTATCTGGCAAGCACTGTCTCTCCAGCCAGGGTATTTGGTATTTCTTGCTTACTAGCTGCTATCAGCACGATGTCATCAATGTAGTGGTCCCATGTGATAATGGAAATATGTGATAATTCAAGTCTCTGCAGACTAAATATAGC